GACAGATGAGAACCTGATGCTGTTTAACACTGAAAAATGCAAGGTTCTCCACCTTGGGAAGAAAAACCTGCAGCATCCTTGTAGGCTCAGCAGTGCTACGCTGGCTAGCGCTATGGATAAAGGGACTTGGGGGTTATGACTGACCACAAGATAAACATGATCCTGCAATGTGATACTGCTGCTAGTAAAGCAAGCAAAATACTTGCTTGCATCCACAGATGCTTCACAAGTAAATCTGAGGATGTCATTATCCCTTTGTACTCAGCCTTGGTGAGGCCACAGCTGGAGTAGTGCATCCAGTTTTGGGCTCCACAATTCAAAAAGGATGTGGAGAAGCTTGAGAGGGTGCAGAGGAGAACCACGTGCATGATCAGAGGTCAGGAAAGCAGGCCTTATGAAGAGAATCTGAAAGCCATGGGACTGTTCAGCCTGGATAAGCTCAGGACAAGGAGTGAGCTGGTAGCCACCTATAAGTTTATCAGGGGTGCTTACCAAGATCTGGAGGGATGTCTGTTCACCAGACACCCCAAGGGATGACAAGGTTGAATGGTCACAAGCTTCTCCATGACCATTTCAGCCTGGACATAAGGAAGAACTTCTTTACTGTCTGAGCCCCCAAGGTTTGGAATAGATTGCCACCAGAGGTGGTTCAAGTACCTACTCTGAACGCCTTCAAAAGACATCTGAATGTTTATCTTGCTGGGATCCTACGATCCCTGCTGACTTCCTACCCCTGGGGCAGGGGGGTGGACTCGATGATCTTCTGAGGTCCCTTCCAGCCCTAATGTCTATGAAAATCTATGAAAGTGTAGCAAGTGTAGCCTAGCAATGATTAGGCTGCAGTGCAGCATAAAAAGCATATGGAAATTATAAGTGGATCACAAGTTGATTATGAGTCAATAGTTTACTAATGTTGCAACAAAGTTAATAGCATACCAGGATGTACTAGCAGTCATGGAATGTTACAAACAAGTCACACAAAGAGGTTCTGTCACTCTATTCAAAACTGACAAGGCCTCACTCACAGTAGTGAGTCCTGTTTTTGGCATCATACCTGAAGAAAGGCAAGGAAAAATGGGAGAGTCCAGAGGAGCAAAAAAATTATTAGAGATCTTGAAAACATGTTGTATGAGATGATAGAAAAGGTGGAATTATTGTAATTTGGAAATGAATTATGAAAGATGGCTTGATGATATTCAAACACAAAAAGGTCATTATGAAAATGGCAGACAATTGTGCTCTCTATCCTTACGGACAGAAGACATAATGGTTTTAAAATGCAACAACAGAGATATGGGTTGTATTTGGATTTAGGAGGAGCTTTGTAACTATGAAGGTAAATAAAGACTGGAACATCATATAGATTAATTGTGGAATTTCCTTTCTTAGAGAAATTGTTAAGTTTGGGTTAAATAAACTTTTGTCTGGGAAAATTTAGACAAAGATAATCTTGTTGTGAGCTAGAGATTGCACTAGATCTCTTAAAATTCTTTCCATCATTATTTTTATATGATTCTATGCCATTTCAAAGCTATATTTTTGTACAGATGATTAAGTAGTTATCACTTTCCCCCATAACTCACTACACATCTGTAATATCTGATTAATTCTAGAGACCTTGCTACTACAGGAAATATCCTTCAGGTGAGGTATGAAAACCAGAATACTTGTTTATTGTAATTACTAGTGTTTTGAAAGCAAACAAGCATGATCTAAAACTGCACCCTGTGGGGAGTGGGTGGCCTGGTGAGGCCCTCAGTGGTACAGGAGCCTCCAGGAAAATGCCAGACCAGTTACCACCCTGGTGAAAGGCAGGTTGGGGTGTCCCAATAACCCATAGCCCCTACAACACTGTGGGTAGCGGTTGGGGCCAGGCACAGCTATGACCACCTGAGCCCCCACTGGGGACAGAAGCCCCATAGCCCCAGTGACGGGGTGAAAGATGTGGATCCCCAGTAAGGGTAGGCCCCAGTGTGGGGGGGCAGATGTGGAGCCCCAGTGTGTACAGTTGCCTCAGGAGGGGCCAGGGCAAGCTTGGCCACTACTCTGGTGAGGGTCGTGGGAGAGGCCCAAAAGGTGGTATGTCTGCTACCCAAGTTGTGTGCTAGATAAAGCCTATGGCCAAAGGGGCCTTCTCCAAGAGGGAGCAAAGTGGTATCTGTGAGAGGGAGGTGGAGTGTGAGAGGCCATAGTGAGAGGAGGGTGGCATGAATTCATGTGTGTCTGAGGCCTGACAATGAGGGCTAAGCTTGGTCTGGCCGTAGGCCAGGAGCATTGTGTCACCTGGATGCCATCTGCGAGGCTTGGGCTGCAGTGTAGGGGAGGAACAGAGCCACAGATAGAGCCCCCCTGGCATCAGGGCAAGAATGAGCAACCTCCCACCTAATTGGAACCAATTAAGAAAAACAAGGCGTGGCAGAGGAGTGAGGCAGGTGATTGGCCCAGGAATAGGTGGGTGGGCCAATGGCAGACCGGTCCCAGGAAGACCTCCTCTTATAGTTAGACACTGAAATACCTTTAAAAATATGTCCATTCTTTCTTTATTTAACTGTAATGCCTTAACATACTTTCTCTGAAATGAAACATAACATTGTACATTGCTAAACATTTAGCAAGACACTCCTCATTCAAGACAACATCTCAGTATGAAGAAAAGTATCTGTGAATGTTCTACGAATATTTAAAGATTGGTGACGTATGATAATGATGATGTTATAAAACTTATCATGTTACATAAAATGTACCACATAATTTTCAATTGTTGCTATAAGAAAACAATTAAATGAAAAAATAGGCAACTTGGTACAGCTCCAGATATCCAGGCCAATACTTGTCTAGACTTGAAGTCCTCAGTGGTGGCAGCAGTCCCTCAATACAAAGATGACAGTCATTCAGTAAATGATGAGTCTGGAGATGATTGATGAGGCCAATCCGAGATCCTTAAATTTAGATGCAGACATGGCAATTATTTCCAGAAGGAAGGAGAAGATCCCGGTGATGTCAGGGCTACAGCTCTATCTCTTCATCTCTCTCATCTATCTGCCTCCATAATGAGGCAAGTTTACTCAAAATGATCGATGCCTGTTCCTACATCAGTGTCACTGGGCACAAATCGGTGCTCAAGCCTCCCAGATATTGTTAATATTATTTTTTTCCCCTCAGTTAGCCTTCAAGGTGTTCTTGAATCTCTTCTTTTGCCCACCACCAGAGTGGTGATCCTCAGTATGTTAAACATATAGGCTCTGTTTGGGGAGCCAGTTGTCAGACATCCTTGGTACGACTACATGAGAAGCTTTACTCGAAGTTAGAGCTAATTACTGAGCAGTATGTATCACTGTCTACACATGCAGTTGTGTACTGCACAGTAATTTGCTCTAATCAAAAGTAAATTTGCTACCTGCAAATGCAAATAGCAAATTTACTGTCAACTACTTACTCCAGAGTAGCACGCATGTAGACACCCGACTGGGAGTAAATGTGCTTCTGGTCAGCAAGGGGCAGGAGATTGTTCCCTACTGTGGGGGTGGGGTCTAGCACCGAAGCCCAGGCAGGGACTATATTTCCCTGCCCCTGCATCAGGGAGCTCCCAGCTCCACTTCATGATTGAGGAGTGGGGGCTGGGAGACAGTTGTCTCCTGGCCCCATGCTCCCTGCCAGCCCGAGCTAGCACCCAGGGGGAGCTTAGAGCTCCCTCTGGCTGCTGCAGTGGCCCAGTGTAGGGCCACAGGGAGTGAGAGAAGTCTGCTTCTAGGAGCAACAAATCTGCTCCAGCCTCCCTGCATGTGTAGACATGTGCCCAGGAGAGTTTACTCTAGATTACTTTACTCTAGAGGAAACTGTTCCCAATTATTTGTATGTGTAGATGCAGCCTCTTATGACATGTTAAGTTCAACAGAGCTTCAATGCCGGTGGTGTTTGCTTGAGCCAGAATACTGGTATTTATTCTCTTTTCTTTCCAATTAATATCTAATGAAAGCTTTTTAGAAGAAATTGTTGATAGTAATGTTCCAAATTTTCAGGTGTTTCCAATATGCCATCCAAGTTTTACACTCGTATAATGAGGTAGGGATTACAACAGGCTGGTAGATGAGAAGTTTGGTTTTTGTTCTAATGTCATCTTTACCAAAGACATGAGTTTCAAGATGTACAAAGGCAGAAATCATGCCTTGATCTTGAATTAAAGAAATACCTGGTCATTCAGGCTGGGGACTCCAAGACAATTAGGCATTATGCTAATTACATAATCACTCCTCTGTGCTGTTGGCTTTAGAGACTGACATGTCTTAAACATGCTAGCCCAGTGAGCTGTTCTGATTTATAAACCCATATAAAAAGCTAACTATACAGATTGGGAGCTAGTTATGTTATGATAGCAATGCTTAGACATTCTCAGTTTCTTTAATGAGGTCCTTATCTCCACAGCTATGATAACATTCAACACAACATTTAGTGAACTTCAAATTAGCTGTAAGAAAACCAGCAAGCCAAGCTAAGTTACAGGTATAGTTCTGAAAGGCAAGCAGCTGTGAAGTAACTAAGAATATGGACAAACATTCCCTTAGTGACTTCAAAGAGGAAGGGGGCTGATGCTTGGGACTATGTAACACCAGTAATGCCATAACTATTATGTGGGCATGAGCCTGTAGTGATGGGCATCTAGGCAGGCCTTTCCAGCTTTAACCCTTCTTCATCTGGGATCAAAATTGAGCTAATTTCATTTACTTGTATCACTACAGGATCATGATGACATCAGTTATGCTAAGATTCAAAAAGCAAATAAGAAATCCAAATATAGTTGAAAAACTTATGTGAAAAAATGCTGTGTTAATTAACCTTAAACAGCAAACATGTAAATTATTTTCATATTGAAATGCCAATTTGCTCTTTTTTATTCTGCCTATTATAATGGACACTGTTTTAAATCCAAAGTGGATTGTCAGAACAACAGGAAAAATCACTGTTGGCTATGTGAAATAGTTGATGGTATTAAACTGACCTACCAAGCTCATATTAAACTGCACAAAGCAACTTGCAGATAGAGTGGGCAAGAGGTAAATTTCCACCTAAACCTTGTAGTTCATCTCCAGCTCTGCTCTGAGATCAGTTACTCTGTGGATAAATAGAAGACTTCATTATTCAGGATTGTCAGTCTAGCATCTGTTCAAAATAATAAGTTCACCTGTTAGAAGGGGGAATATGAAAAAGTAAGGAAATATGAAAAAGAAGAAGGAAGAGGAGTAGGAAAAAGGAGAGGAGATATCCAATGATTTGTGAGATCTGATAAACTGATACCTAAAGTGGGAAACCCAAAGCAGTTCAACCTGTACAGTGCTCAGACGGTTGTTAAACAAATTAGGATGAAAATTCTGGCTTCCGAGGCAAAGAACAAATACGAGGCTTTTACAAGTAACAGAAAAGATGGTGATGGGGGAATAGAATCATTCCCCACCTTAGAATCCAATGTACAATTTTTAAAATGTGTACTACAGTAACTTGTGTCTTTTCAGAGATGAAAGTCAATCAGTTGGGGACTTTGAATGGTTCAAACCACTGGAAGTATAGGAGACGAGCTATATTCTTTATGACATAGATCCTTTTTCTAAAACATGTGTAAAGTGGCTATACCCAACTTGATTTATTTCATTAAGATTGCTTTGCTATTTTCCCTTTCTTGTCTTCTTATCTGTGTCACTTCTCCTTGTTAGTAGATGCTCATATTTTGTCAACATGCAAGCCACTATTCCTGAGTCGACCTCTACTTTTCCACTTCAGGACCTAACAGAAATCTACTTCTGGATTCAGCTTTGTAATGTAATAGACTGTGGAGTTCTTCCTTCACAGTCTGCTTTCCAATTCTGATGAGTTTGGGGACTTTTTTGGCTGTAGTTAGAAAAGGAGCACTTTATGGTAATTATGCTGTTAACCTTCAAGTGACTAAGTAACCTTCAAAGACTAATCATCTCCTGCTAATAAGACCATGCGAGATTATGAAGTAGCTCTCATTCAAAAACCAAGGTTAATGTCCAGCAAACTGGTGAAGTAAATGAAGAAGTAAGGG